AAAACTTAGCCAGGCATGGTGGCAAGCACCTGTAATCCCAGCCACTTGGGAGGCTGAGCCACAAGAATCATTTAAACGTGGGGAGTGGAGGTTGCCGTGGGCCAAGGTTGTGCCACTGCACTCCAGCCTGGGTGACAGAGCGAGACTCTGTCTAAAAATATATATATATTTATTTATTATATATATATAATATAATATATATATTATTTGTAATATATGTATAACAAATATAACATACATATAAATATATATGTTATTTTCAAACAGTCATTTATTCGAATTGTCAAATATATAATAAACACCTACGGCATGCCAAATGCAGGGTCAGGTGTGAGGATATGGCACTGAACAAGGAGAGAGTCCCTAAGGAGCTTGCAGGTTAGCAGGGAAGACACATAAATAAGTTCTGACAACAGTTAGCATTTATGGAGGGCTTAGAAAGTGGGGTGGGGCAGCAGATTCCTTAGTTCAAACAGAAAGTCAGCCTTGGCAAAGGCACTGTGCAATAACACAGAAGGGGCAAACGCATGACAGCTGTCAGGGACCTCAGAGTGCAGTGAAACCTTGGGAACTGAGGCCCAAGGTAAGGAAGTGGCTCAGCCAGAATCCACATTTCAAATCACCCCTCCAATCTGCCACACGCCGGGGTCCCTTCCCATACCAGCCTTGGCGCCCCCAAGCCTGTGAGGATCATGCATGTGTCCGCAGTCAGGCCTTGGCAGAGTATCTCTGATGAGAGCAGAGTTGCCAAAGGCAGGGATGGCTGTGTGCCTGGGGGAGCCAGGGCACCAGGGAGTATAATGGTGAGCACGGCTTCCAACAGCCACCCACGCCCAGGGCCCAAGACACCCGGGCAGTCGGATCTCAGGAAGAGAAAGCTTTAGGCCGGAAGAGTAATAGTCATGACAGTAACAATAATAAAAATAAGCATTTCTTTGTACACAGCCTTATGATGTAGATACCATTAACCATTATTGTTGGCCACATTTTATGGCTGGAAACGGATTCAGGGAAGTTAAGGAATTTGACCAAGTGTGTATGGTGCCAGTAAGTGGCAGAGCCAAGATGTGAACCCAAGGACTGTGACGCTAGGGCCTTCATTCCTTTTTTTTTTTTTTTTTTTTTGAGATGGAGTTTAGCGCTTGTTGCCCAGGCTGGAATGCAGTGGTGCCATCTCAGCTCACCGCAGTGTCCGCCTCCTGGGCTCAAGTGATTGTCCTGCCTCAGCCTCCCGAGTAGCTGGGATTACAGGCATGCACCACCATGTCCGGCTAATTTTGTATTTTTGGAAGAGACGAGGTTTCTCCATGTTGGTCAGGCTGGTCTCCAACTCTCGACCTCAGGTGATCCGCCCGCCTTGGCCTCCCAAAGTGCTGGGATTACAGGCGTGAGCCACCATGCCTGGCCAGGGCCTTTATTCCTAACCATGTCACTCGGCTGCCTCTTGGAACACAGGAGTGCGGAACCAAGCCTGCCCCCGGTGCACGGAAGCCAGAGCTTGAGCCTTTCGGTGGACCTCAGCCTCCTGCCCTCTATCTCTCTTCTTGGACCATCACTGACTCCTCCCTTCTCCCTTCTGCTCCTAGGGGCTTTTTCCCTGTGGCCTTTAGCTTCCTGGGAAATGTCTACAACATCCCTTTCCTGAGTGAGGTAAGCAGATGATGCCAGCAGCCCCGTGGGGGTGCCCTGTGGGGTGAGGAGGAACCCATGGAGCTGATAAAACTGCTGCCCCAGGGACAGGGGCCCCTCCCCTTTCTCCCCTGAGACCCCCTAGCCCAGGTGCAGTGCTTTCGACTCCTCTTCCCCCTGCACCTTCTCCATTTGACAAGAGCCCATGAGGGGAGGGGATCCAGATGCAGTCGTAGCCGAGTCTGGCTGTAGAGGAAGGTAGCAATGAATAGCTTCCTGTTTACAGCTAAAGAAATGAAGATGCAGAGACTCTAGGTGACCCAACCAGTAAGTGCCTGAGATTTCTGGGGATCTGGCTAAGTGCTGGCCCCAGGATGTGTGACAGCCGATGACGGCAGGAAAATCTTTCCTGAGTGTGGCAGGTTTTATCCTCTCCTGGGGACAGGCATGGCCAGTGGTATCCAGCCCCTGCCGCTCCCCGTCCCTTTCTCTGAAGCATGTGGCAGAATATGAGCTCTCTGAGGAGCCCAGGGAGACCCTACAGCCAGCACCCCTCCACAGCCGCCAGCTGGACCCAGCCCCCTACAGCCCCTCTCATATCTGCGCCTGGCACCGCTCCCGGCTCTCAAGGCCAGCTCTGTAATAACCTAGATATCGCATCTGCCCTCTACCCTTTGTCTGGAGTAATGATTCTTGGCTCCCACAGCTGTTCCGGAGACTTCAAGGCACGAGCTCGATGGTCTGAACAACAGAGATGAGCTCCTTGAACTTGGATCATTGGTTGAGAGGGCTGGAGGGAGAATGGGAACCACTCCCTCAGTCCCCAGCACTGACTCACACCCCATCATATACGGACCGCCCCAAGTCCAGAAGGAAGAATGGAGCTGAGCGGCTGATCTCATATCCCCAAGTCGAGTCAAGAGGCTGCCAAGACTGTTGGAAGCAGAGATGCAGAGCCCCAAGGAGATTGGGCTGGGGCTGGCATTACACCCCCACTCTATATTTATGGGAGGAAAAGTGAAGATTAAATTCCCAAGCTGTGTGTGTGTCTGAGGCTCAAAGCTGGCGTCTTAGGGCGGGCATGGTGGCTCACACCTATAATCCCAGCACTTTGGGAGGCCAAGGCGGGCAGATCACCTGAGATCAGGAGTTCAAGACCAGCCTGGCCAATATGGAGAAACCCTGTCTCTAGTAACAATACAAAAATTAGCCAGGTGTGGTAGCAGATGCCTGTAGGCCCAGTTACTCAGGAGGCTGAGGCAAGAGGATCACTGAATCCGGGAGGCGGAGGTTGCAGTAAGCAGAGATTGCACCCCTGCGCTCCAGCCTGGGCAACAGAGGCAGACTCCATCTAAAAAAATAGAAGTTGGCATCTTCAGCCAATTAAGTCCACCTCCTGCTTCAGGGCAGGCCAAGGTACATACACATCATCCCCCATAGTGAAGTTTTGGTCTATGAGGGTCAGTGCTGTCCTCATAGGCCATGATTTCTGTCCTGGCATTTACCAGCCCTAATGGGTGCGATAATCACATGTCTGCAAGCCCCTGCTAACAGCAAGCACCAGACAAGTGAGGAGTACCAACCTGCAGACTGCTGGCGTGCTTTTCAAGCATTAGGGGACCACCAGGTCGAGTTCTATCACATATATTAAGTGCTCCCATGGGCTGAGCAGTGAACGAAGAGTTGAGGGAATGTGTGTGTGTGTATATGTGTATGGTGTGTGTGCATGTGTGTGGTGTGTGTGTGCATGTGTATGGTGTGTGTGTGCATGTGTATGGTGTGTGTGCATGTGTGTGGTGTGTGTGTGCATGTGTATGGTGTGTGTGTGCATGTGTATGGTGTGTGTGTGTGCATGTGTATGGTGTGGGGATGCATGTGTGGGGGTGCATATGTGTATGTGTCGAGCTTGTGTTGGGAGAACTTCCTGTCTGAGGGTAGAGACATAGCCCCTGCCTTCAGAGACTCCCAGCATAAGAGAAGAAACAGTCCCTGCTCTGGAGAGCCCCTTGTCCAAGGGTAAAGAGAGTCCTTGCAGGCTCAAGAAAGAGACAAAAGTCACTTGCAAAGCATGCAGTTAGCAAATATCCATTGAGGGCCCTCTCTGTATGTGCCCAGCGATGGAGTGGGTGCCGAGGGTACAGGGGGAAGGGGGCCTGTCACTGTCCTCAAAGTGCTGTACCCAAGCAGTCACAAAATGGTATGGTGGTGGGTGCCGTGAGACAAGGGGGCAGGCCCCCAAGCTGGCTGTCCGGATGTGCTGCCACCTGGAAGTCCCCTCTCTGCACCCCTGGCACTTCCCACCTTCCAGAGCTCCTATTTCATCCTCCTTGCTCATAGCTGGCTGCTTCCCTAATGCCTCTGACCACACCACAGCGTATTCACCTCAAAACCCTGTGCTGAGCAAGTGCTCAGTAACGGAGGAAAGAAGAGAAGCAGGAAGGAAGAAAAAAGGAGAGAATCCCACCACCACCCACCTGCGCCAGTCACAGGGCACAGTCCAGGAGCCGCCTGGAGACCCACGCTGACCTGGCTTTCCCACAGAGCTGGGAGCGCGGGATGAGGAGCCCAGGTCAGCCTGTGCCCTTTTCCTCCCTTCTGCCTGTCCTTCGCCACTTTGTCTACTTCAGACTAGGTGTGTCTGTGGCTCTTGTCGGAGAGGGAATGAGACATTTCACTCTGACGCCTCTCCCCACTCTACTCAGATAGCACATTTCCACATTGTTTGGGGGCAGAATGGGTCCTCTGGGTGGGAAGAGGGTGTGGAGGATGGAAAGAGCGGGTGAGGAGGAGAAAGAGCGGGTGAGGAGGAGAAAGCCCGTGTCAGAGGGCTTGGGTGGGGCGGAAGGAGAGGCTGCCTCGTCACAGAGCCCAGGGGCGCGGGCGGCCCGGGGGCTGTGCTCTCCTGGAGGGTCTGAGGAGGAGGGAGGGCAGCAGAGTGGGCCTATGCTTGGAGACGTCACAGGGCATCATAAAAGGGATGTGATCAGGGAGCTGGCGAGAGTGAGCCCAGGAGCCCAGCTGCCCACTCTCTGAGCGTTCACCCGGCCAGGTGGTCTCGTCACCTCAGCAGCTCCGCCAAGCTCCTGCCCAGGCCAGGACTGAGGCAAGGTAGGCACATTGGGCATCCACCCTTGGGGAGGGGGTCTGCCCTGACCTGGGGATGCTCCGGAGTGTAGCAGGGAATCTGTTCGAAGACAGACAGATGCATCGGGGCAGGCAAAGGCAGGGAAGGGGGACACTGACCTTTCCTGTTTACCAGCCTGACCCGATTATCCTGGGATACCTGGGTGAACACACTGAGTCGCACTTTATTTGTGAAGCCAGCACTCTGGGGATCCGGAGGGCTCTCTCTTGCTGCAGAAGGAATACATGCAATCAGTGAACGCTGTGGCTGGAATTAGAGAGCACAGACACTTTTGGATGGACCTTGGATGGACAAGCCAACCAAGGGCACCTACCAAGAACTAGGGGCCACCTTACTTCAAAAGCTTTCCTGCTATACCCAGAATTTCTCTGTTACTCACTGTATACAAACCCCCCAGAGTGGAGGGAACCACAGGAATTGTCTACAGCAGGTCAGCCACTCATGGCCCCTTTCCAAATCATTCCATTCTACCACATACATTAAGTGCCCCCATGCCTTTTATCTTTAATCATGTTTGTTGAACAATCTCAACGTGTCTGATGACTTTTTCAAAAAGAATGAGAGTTGGGAGCTGGAGGAGATGGGGTGAGGTTTGTGTGCGGGTGATGAGGCAGAGCAAGGCAGGGTGATGGGAAATGGTGTGAGGATCAGGGCACATGGCTCCCATCTCAGCAGCCAAAATGATGAGGCCAATTCAATTCATAGCCTCTCAGAGTCCACAATGAATAGGCTATGGAGATAACTGACCTGATAAATCAAGGAAAGGTTTTTCTCTTCCCTGAATTATAGGCAATAAGACAATTTAATGACCATCTTCAAGGCTGTGAAGGGCTATGAGAGAGAGCAAGATTATTGCCTCTTTCTTCCTTTATCCTTAGCAAAGAAAAAGAATCAAATTTATCTTACAGCAGGAGAGAACAAGGTCAGACTCAGGCATAAGGATGGGGTGAGTGGAACACAGGTCCTGTGCCTGACCTAGTCTTTGTTCCCTCTCTCTGTCTCAGCCTCATGGCACTCCAGGGACCTCTTCTTCTCGCCAGGATGAACTCACTGGTTTCTTGGCAGCTGCTGCTTTTCCTCTGTGCCATCCACTTCGAGGAGCCATCAGAAACGGCTCCCGTGGAGAATCCTAGACCTGCAGGTATGCATCCTCTGGGGAAAGGGGTGGGCGGGAGCAAGTGGCTTGTTGCAAAATGAGCTTTCCCGTATTTTCCAGTTAGTCGGTTGGTGTGAGTTTAACACTGCGTTTGGTGGAAACCTAAGACTGGCACATGTACAGCTCATCGAGGGGTCCCATTAACCTTGCAAGTGAGGGATGCCTTGCCTCTGTGATGGGCCTCAGTCACCCACCTAGGTTCCAGGGCTTGTTAACCCCTGAGCGCCTTCATGATTTCCTCACACTGCGTTCTCTGCTCTGCGTCAGCAACCTCTCTGTACTCATGTTGAGGAAGAACTTCACATGCAACC